AAATGTTGGCACGGGAAATAGTGTAATAGTGGAATAAGAATCTTCAAGATGCATGAAACAGACTTTAGAAAAGTGAAGGTAAATAGATGTCCCTCAGTAATAGAAATGCAAATGACAGGTACCACAGGACACAATTCACCTGGATGGCTTTAAATCAGTGATGGGTAGGAGGGATAACATTGTAAGGCTCATCACGATTCTCGAGGTACCAGGAGCAATTTTCTTGATGCTGTCAAGAAACTGAGAGGACAGATGGAAACAGATAGAAAGGAGCACACAGAAAACCCATAATAAATATAGTAATAAAGAATTAACTATTCTTCTATTAATTGGAGATCTATAACCTACCTTTTTTCTTGTTTAGCTTCATAGAATCTCTGTATTGTGAGTAGGGGGACAGTGGTGGCATATTCTACTGGCAGGTGAGAAAGTTGAGATATGAAAGAGGTAATTGCATAGACCAATTATACCATTAATCACCATGAGATACAACCACCTATAGTTAGTTTTTGTAATTTCATATCCTGTGTTCTTTCCAATATAATAATCTGCCTCTTAGACCAAAACAAGGTTTTGAGTCCATCAATCAGTTTAAATATGCCATAACCCCATTGCATGACCTTATTATTTCTTATGAAAGTGAGTTTAATATGACGTAGGTCATCTTTCCACCTCATCCAAGGGGTCTAGTTACTGAAGTTCAAAGAGCCATATAGACTCATGTGCCTGGAAGATACCTAACAGCATGTAGGTCATTGGAGAATTAGCAAATAGAGAAAGGATCCCAGCAGAGAGAAAATGCTCCACACCAGATGAAAACAAAGAGTATGTTTACTTATACCTCAGGGGGCAGTGCTGCCAGATCTGCAAAATTGTTTGATCGTGCACTTTACCCTTGAATGTTGCTTGAAACTTTCCTTTCCAGAGACAACAATATATTTACTTCTTTCCTGGCAGATGGCTGTTTTATAGATTTAATTTTGTTTGTCCTAAGATTTTAAGGACTTTTTTAGGGCAGATTTTTGTAAATTTATGGCATATAAATCTCTGGCCACTTATTTTTTTAGATAGATGGCTTCATACAATCCTAGTGGAAAGGAGAAGTGGATTTCTGCCTTTCTCATGGTGATGTATTTTGAAAATGCTGAGGCATCAAGGCCCTAGCAGAGCTGCCCCATTTGTGCATACTTTAATTCCACCATGCTTGTTGAAAGATATTAAAAAGGCCCTATCTCATAGTATGTGAACAGAAAACTTAATCACTGTAAGTTCTCTCTGCTAGAAAACTGAGCTAGAGTGGGTGCTGTCTGTGGCCCTTTGAATTTCCTTGTTCCACATGTCCTTTTCAAGAACTGTGCACAGCAGAGAGAAGGGCTCAATAGCTCTGCATGGATGGGTCTTAGTTCAAGCAAAAGATTTAAAAATTTTAAAACTTCTTCCTTCCCTTGCTTTCTTCATTCCTTCTTTGCCTCCTTCCTCTTTGTAGGGCATATTCCATCATTCATGCTTTGTGCACCTACCCTACACCTTCATGTTTTCATTTACTGGAATCCCAGGAGCTTATGGAATGTCCTGGTAGATAACCATAATAACCCCAACTAAAATGTCATAGCTTACAGAACTCCTTCAGTCACAGTCTTTTACTTAATTCCCCTAGAAAATCTTTAGGTAGACTTTATTAATTTTATCTAGCAAATTAAGAGAAACAAAGGTGAAAATTAAGCGATATGTTCAGGGCCACGGGAGAGTCAATAGCAAAGCCAGGGCTTAGAGCAGGCCGTCTAACTCTAAACCCTTGGCTCTTCGCTCTACTTCACATGGTCACTCCGAAGACAAAGCAGCGTGTGTTATCATCAAGTCAGCGTGGCCAGCGATTTCCTAAAGGTCACACAGGCTGTAGCTCATCAAGAAGTACATGCTATGTCTTCTCCATTAGAACTTTACTGCAAAGAGGACTGCATATTGTTATGATGTGTTGAAAAGTGCAGTCCTTTTAAGGTAAACATGGTTGTTTTTCACTCTCCTTCTAAGCAGTTACCCATCTTCCTTTCCTTTCCTGAATCCAACTCCACAGATCTCCCTGTTGTCCACCCCACCACTGGCCTCAGATTGACACACTTAGCTCAGATTTTCCCCTTCGTTTTCTTTGTTTTTAATAACTTTCCTACTCACCATACTATAGCTGTTAGTATAAATCACTTGCTCTTATGTTTTCCTTTCCAGACCTGCTGTCCCTCTAAAACTTAATTAATTCTGGGAAAGAGCAGTGGTTCTGGCTTTTTACTGTCCCCACTGCTGACACACATGTCAATGCTCTGCTGTTGGCACAACCTACACCATGTTCTTTTGTGAGAAGATATTAAAAAGGCCCTATTATAGTATGTCAACAGAAAACTAAATCACATACTGTGAGAACTAGTTAGTTCTGTATGGCAGAATTGTGTCATTAAATTAACTTTCAACTTTTCCTTTCTTTTCTCATGGCTCTAAATATAGCTTTCTAAAAAGTCTTCCTTGGTTTTCCTTTACAAATCAAATAGGGCATTCATTTAAAAACCTGAGCCTTGCTTCTCAAAATGGTGTAACTAGGGTGACTCTGAATTCTCATGAAAATTCAGGGTCATCTCTTTAATCATTTCAATATATACAGTACAGACTTCCATTTTAAAGAGATTTTAGCTAGTTCTTAACTCCAATCAAACACTGGAATATCAACAAGATATTTTTTTAAACTCTAGTGACCAGTTGTCCTTCCCAGAGATTCAGATTTAACTGGTCCAGAGAAGGGCTCAGCCATGAATGTGTTTTGAAAGTCCCACAGATGGTTCTGACCGGAAGCTAAGATGAAAGGTTATGAAAAACTCAGAACTGAGTAAAAGGCAAGTCTGCCGATGGTGCCTACCTCTGCTCTGAGCAGCAGAATCCCATCAAGCCCCTTCCATGGACCTAAGAGTTTCTGTGAGAAATAGCTGGAAAAGCACTAGTTCCAAATTTAAATACACCTTCCAGTGTTTCTCAAAGTGGAAACCAAAGGCACCTTCTCTCAGCATCCACTCCATTGATTGCTTCTGAATCAGAATATCTACATTTACAGCCTGAAGCTTCACATTGTTCATAAGTCCCCTCAGTGATTCTGACACATGTTAAAATAGGAGAACCCACTCATCTATATCATATACACCTACAGCCAGAGGGACTCTGTGATTTTAATGTCTCAGGTCTTTTGTAATCTAGAGCATCCCCTATTTTTTTTTTATAAATGTTGGTGATCTATTGAAATGGTCAAACTAGTTGTATTATAGAATGTTAAGCCTTTTGAATTTGTCTAATGGTTTTTTGTGATGCCATTTACATTGTTTCTCTGAATTTCCTATAAATTAAAAGCTAGGACAACTAGCTTCCTTGGGTTCAGGTAAAACACTTTGGGCAAGAACCTCAGAGGTGGTTCTATCCATCATATTCCATTTTATCAGGAGGCGTGTCACGTCAGGCTTCCCACTGTTTGTAGCACTGCTTTTGACGCCTGGGTTGAGGCGGTGGCAGCCAGATGAATCCATCGTAAAACTGTCTTACCCCTTTGTGATCAGGAAGTAATGACCCTTCTCATCACGCATGTATCCAGCTCCCCATCAGCCCTGATAAGGGAACATTTGAGAAGGAACCCATCAGCCTTTCACATAAGGGGTTTGCATGTGCTGATGAATTATTTCATTAAGAGTTATAAAATGGGGAAATTTGATGATTAGTCCTGAGATATTCTCTCTCTCTCTCCTGTAAAGAATGATCCTTTCCAAAGGTGATGTAGACTATGTCACTCCTCTGTCCAACCTTGGCACCCAGCGACTTCTCTCTGAGACATGCAAACACCCTCTCCCCGGAGGCCCCTCTCCCACTGCTGGTTTCCTCACTGATTTCATCTGCGGCTCTCTTCTGACCCTCCCTCCTTCAGCCCCCTTTCTGGAAGACAGCAAGCATCCCCCACTGCCTGGCGGTTCCCTCCACATGGAATGAGTTCTCCTAGCTCCCTCAACAATTATTTCAGGTTCCTTCTCAAATGTTCCCATATCAGGGAGCCTTCATCTGCCTGCCATTGTTAACACAGCACTCCTTCCAACACATTCTCGCCTTACGTGAAAGGCTGATGGGGACCTGGATACATGCGTGACGACGGTGTCGTTACTGCCTGATCACAAACGGGCATGTCTGTTTTACCATGGGTGCATCTGGCTGCCACCACCTCAATCCAGGGATCGAAAGCAGTGCTACAAATAGCAGGAAGCCTGACATGACGTGCCTCCTGATATGATGGAATATGATGGCTAGAACCACCTCTGAGGGGTTCTTGCCCAAGTGTTTTATCCTCTCTTATGGATTGACATTATCATGTATTTGTTTCCATTTTCACAATTTCAATCAAGATTAGGAATTCTGTACGTTTTGCTTATGACTGTATCCCCAGAATCTATAAGAATTCCTGATATATAGGATCAGTAAGTGTTTGGTGAATGAATGACTGAAGTGACTTGTGATGTCCAGAGGGGCTGAAGAGGATGACCAACCTCACTCATCAAATTAGTAACAAGAAAGAAGAACATAGTCTTGACAGCTGTCAGTTGGGAACTTGCCGTGGTGAGCTGCTAAGCCTTGGTGTGCACCTGTTGAATATAAACAATTCCACAGAATACCACATCAGACAAGCTCAGTGTGAGACTGTGAGACCACAGCGCAAGGAGACAAAAACCAGATCACCCCATAATCATGTCTACGCACAGACGACACATGAACACGATGCAAAGCACAAAAATGGCTGAGCATCGGGTCTCCCAGCTACCAGCTGTGCCTGCTGCTTCTAAATATTGCAGCTTCAGTTATATGCTGTTCCTTCTGCTTCCCAGTTATAAATTATCAAGGTACCATGAGTTTCCTATGGCTGTGGTAACAAATTATTACCAAAACAGGGGGTTAAAATGCCAGAAATTTATTGTCACCGTTCGTGAGGCCAGCAATTTGACATCAAGGTGTTGGCAGTGTCATATTCTTTCTGAAGTTTCTAAATCAGATTCCTTCCTTGTCTTCTCCGGCTTCTGATGGCTGCTGGCATTCCTCGTCCTTTGACGGCATCACTCCAGTCTCTGCTTCCATAGTCACACTGCCTTCTCTTCTTGCGTCTGTAGTCACCTCTTCCTCTGCCTCGCCTTTTCTGGGACATCCATGACTGCGGGAAGGCCTCACCTGGATGGTGCAAGGTGAGGTCCCCAACTCAAGATCTTTAACTTTATTACATCTGCAATGACCACCCCTCCCTGCACTCTGGGCCTTTTTTTAAACATAAGGTAACATTCCCAGGCTCCAGGGATTAGTTCCTAGAAGTCTCTGGGTGGAGGGCATCATTCAGCCTACCACAGACTCCCCTGAACTTCTATATGTCACCAATCCAAACAAAGCAGGTCTTCCTTGGACCTCCTCATCCAAAGCTACCTATCCCAAGTCAAAAATCTGTAATAAACTCCTCCTAACTTCAGTGGCATACCTCATGGTTTCCCTGGTGCAATGCTCTCCCTTGTTGCAAGTAATAAAGCCAGCTTCATGCAGCAGTCATGGATTCCTGGTGATCTCTGGCTGGTAGGCATGAACACTAACATACGTGTCTTAAATTTATCTGCTACTAGATAGACTTCAGGACTTCAAATGCCCCAGGTTTTCTTTTTTCCTTAAAATATAATCAGTGAAGGATCTAAATCAGTGGTTGCCATGGGGCACAAGGGGTTATCATTAAAAAATGTATAGCAATTTATGTATAATTATAACACATTTGGAAGCATTTAATTCTTTTAAAATATTACAAAGAATCTTCCTGGGTTTTTGCTATTTGATATAATTTAAGTGACCCTGGGTCAGAAGTACAAAATATTAAACTATTTTTAAAACTTATTCTGGAAGCTAAAGCTTATCTTTTAAATGTATTGACTTAGATAAGGGGCAGAGGTCATCATTATAAATGACATTTTGTATGTAGTTACACATTATTTCTGGTACCTGTGGTTTTTTTTCTCAAGACCTTTATTACCTGAAGCGACCGCTCAGTAAAGGCTTTTGCAAAGTAGAAATCTCTGATGTGTGTATATTAAGTTCAATTATAGAAATATATTTTTAAGAAGATACACAGGTACAGATGCTTAAAAACACCGCAATAGTATGAAAGTGGAGATAAAAGCACTTGAAAAGAATAGCTTTGACAAAAATTATGTTTGATCAACCATGTAGTACTGTAGTATATGAAAGTTACAGAAACAATACCTTTTGGCAGGGGCTAGACATGGAAGAACCCTTTCTTTAATATTATATATGAAGAATAAAAGATTACAGGAGTATCTGAGTTCCCTTCTTCGCTTTTTTTCAGGATGGGGGTAGTGGTGTTTCTAATCCTCTTACCCTGGTCCTATCAGTCATTTACTTTATGAATAATCGAGGATAAACAGTGTCATGGACATGGATTTGTATGCACTGTAATCTAAGTCTTAAGGTCATTAGTGTTTGGCGAACCCTAAACAAAAATCCCATGTGCAGAAATTGGTCAAACTTTTAAAATATTATTATCAAAATCCACACCCAAGAGTTTGTACATCAGTATAGGAGTTATGAGAGATAAGATGTGTGTTTGTGGCTAGCTAGGATTATTGCAGGGCTCCTAGCAAAGGTATGTATCAAAAAAAGACCTACCATCTACCGAACTCTGTAGCCACCAAACTCTGCAGGTTTGGACGTCCCACATTCACACTTCCAGTGGGACCCTTCTGTGGAACTTTTGAAACAGATTCATCATTAGACATCCTCCAGAACAGCTAAATCTGAGTGTCTGGACAGGGAGAGGATGGGCATTGAGGTCAGGACACTGTGGGCTCATCGTCACATCTCTGCTAAAATTTGTGTCTTGTATAAAAAGAAATCCTGGCTTATTTAAAACCAGATCTATTGTACTTCATTGTAGACAAGTGGGAAGCAGCCAGCTGGTCTGACATTTAGGAGGTACTGATCATCTTGACTCCTGAAGGTATGTTTTGTTTAAAATGTGAGTCAAAAAGAACAGAGAAAGAGGGCTGCCGTTTCTCAACAGAGGAAGGGGGAAAAGAAGATAGGAGGTGGAAATAGCTTCCCCAAAAACCAGGTGATGGAAGAATGACTCCCTCTTCATCCCTAGCCAGCAGATCCACTGCCTAGGGTTTTTAACATTGTCAGCTTTCCACGTGAGTGCTGCCCTGGAGGACACAGGAATTGTCCAGGACAGGCCACGCGACCCAGAGTGAAGCTGCAGAGTGGGGAGGAAAAGTCTCCATCAGATCAGAGAATCTGGGAGAGAACATAGTTGTGGGGGAGGAAAGGGAAGGAATTCTTTCTCAGAATATACAGCAAAGATGACAGCAAAAATTAGAATGTTACTCAGCCTCTAGAATGAGCTAGAAGGATGAAAACAGACAACTTAGTTATGGAACTCACTAAAAACACAAGAAACCTCCACTTCTGAAGTGGATACTTTCTGGCAGACCAAAAGGACAACCCCAGAGCTGAAACCACAGCTCCAGTGACCAAGGATGGAAAATACTGCATGAGTCATGGAAATCCTAAAGAAGCCAGCATTGCAGAAGCCTGTCAAGAGGCAGAAAGCCTTCTTAGAACTTGAGTAACGGGAGACTCCTTGGGAAAAGTGCCTCCAGTGGGGGAAATAAACTCTTATTGCTTCTGGAAGTGTCTCAATTTGAGATGAGGTTCCAGTGAACATATCAAAAGGTACAGATACAGTCTGGATTGTAATAGAAGCCATACAATTAGACATCTAGAGAGATTATGTTAGCCTTAGCCATTAAACAAAAGAAAAGGGGCAATAGACTGACTCAGAGAAAGTTGGGAAGAATGAGTAGAAAATGAGGTGTGAAAAATAATTGGAAATGCAGAAAGTAATCCTAGATTCAGGGAGAAAACTGCTTGAATAGGACACATCAGAAGATAACAATGTTACTATGTAAGCCCACCTACCCCCACCATGCACATCAAGTCAGAGAAACAGAGCCAAGCATAGCATAAGATACCACAAGACATGATGGAAGCTTCTGGAACTTAATGAGTTGCTAAATTTTACTTAGGGAACTGAAGCCCTTCAAACTAGTCAAAACATGCCCAGAAAATGGCCCAAACAAAAATCCTGAAGGTGCACTGAGACTAAAAATGCCAGCAGTCAGAAATAGCAATCAGTGATACTGGGACCCATGGGATGGTTTTTCTGCTAAATGCACAGTTCTTTAAAGTTGTATAAAGAGGACAAAACACAGAATCAGGTATTTTGGTAAAAGAGTAATATTTGAAACAGTGAGAACTAATATTAAATTAGAAAGACCCAGATAGCCAATAAGAGAATTTGAAGTGTTACCCCATAACCCTTAATGCGTACCCGAATGACTATTTGGGCAGGGGGAGGTCTTTTGAATTGGGATAAAAACAAATTGATTACCTACATCATTGTGCAGGAGGGTAAAGGGAAGACTGTTGAACTGCTTACTTCAAAGACTATAACTAACATCCTGAAGCTCATACAAAGAAAAATACAAATCTCCCAAAACATAAAGAAGAGATAAATATTTAATTATGAGTTAAAGAAAATATGTGCAAAACCTGTACACTATGAACTACAAAACTTTGCCGAGGGAAATTAAAGATTTAAGTAAATGGAGAAATGTACCATGTCTATAAATTAGAAACCAAATTTATCTAAAGTATCACTGTTTTTTCCTACAAATCATTTAAATTCAGCAGGCTTTTTCTTTTAGTATTAGTAGAAATTAAGAAATTGATATAACTGTATATTAAATACCAAGTACTAGTAGAAATTAAGAAATTGATACAACTTCGTATTAAATACCAAAAGCCTACTTCAGCAAGAACGTTTTTTGAAAGATCTACAAAACTGAAGTATTTATTCTATTTTATGTATATTTTAAGGTTTACCTTAAAACAACAATTTAAAAATGGGAAAAATATTTGAGTAAAGACTTTGTAAAAGGAGATACAAGAATTCCCAATAAGCACATGAAAAGATATTTGACAGTGTTCAGAGAAGTGCAATGAAGTACAAGTTAGCATGACCAAGATTAATAGACAATGCCAAGTGTTAGCAGGAATGTGGGGTGATTGGAACATCATTGCTGGTGGGAATGAAACAAACACAGCTAACTTGGGAACATTTTGGAAGTTCCTTATACCCTTAAACATATACCTTGCAAATAACTCAGCAATTTCATATAAGTATTTATAGGGAGAAATGAAAACCTGCATTCACACAAATACATGTATGCAAATTTTGTATAGCATATTAACTATTCAGAATCTAGAAATGACCTAAATGTCCATCAACACATGAATGGATAAACAAATTGCATATATCTACACAACAAAATGCTAATCACCAATCAACTGGAAATCAGTACTGGTATAAGCAACATGATTGAATCTGAGAAATACAAGGCTGAGCAAAAAAATTAAGAGATGAAATAGGTCAGACTGTTTGATGCTATTTATATGAAACCTAGAAGATACAAAGCTAACACATACTGACAGAAATCACATGAGTGAGAGATTATGAATTAACTGCAGAAGGAAACAAAGTAACTTTTGGGGTTGATGGAAATGTTCTCTGTTTTAATAGTGGTGGTACTTAATTGTCAGAATTCATTCAAATTGAGTACCTAAGATGGGTGCATTTTACTCCAAGTAAACTATACGCCAATAAATTTAATATGAAAACAGAAATAATAATGAGGATAATCTCTGTATTTTAGGAGAATATCTCCACAATATAATGTTAACTAAAAATCAAGTTGCCAAACAGTGTGGGGTTTATGAAGATTATATAGATATGTTTATATGTACTTATTTATTAGTATGTGTGTAAGTATGTGCAAATACATTTGCAAAGGGGGCACAAAACCTTAGGAGGTTAATTGGGAAGATCACTTTTAACTCTAAGATGGAAAAGCCCTAGGACAAGATAAATGTAAACGTTTTATGTGATTATAAAACAAATAAAACTCAAATTGAAGAAAACATTGTCCTTTACAATTTGAATGAAAAGTATAAAATGAATCTAAATTTATATAGAATTGGTTGTTCAACAAGAAAAAGTTCCTCCCATGAACAGATGTAGTTTATTCTAATTTTTTAAAAATGACAAATTTTATATTGTCATCCAGCATCTTGCTATTTTAGCAGATGGAAAATTTTTGAAGATATTTTAGAGTCATGAATTTGTAACTATCATGGCTTGTTGAATCAAGGACAGTGAATTTGATGCACATTTATTGTCTCCTGATAACTAATTTTTTGGATTGAGATATTAAAAAGCAATACCAGGCTTTGCTCTCTGTAGATGTATTTACCACATAAAATAGTTCGGCTTCTAATGTGTTTCTTTCTCTCTAAAATAATGATATTAATGGGAAACTGATCACACATTTATCTCATAACAGAAGCTTGGTAAAATATCCTTGACCATGTTTTGTACATGACTCCAGATCATTCAAACTGTAGCCAGGGAAACTTTTTATTTCCCTCAACATTTGTTAACTTAGAGCTTCATCTTTTATTTCCAAAGAGACTTAGTTCTCCTATAGATGACTGAATTCTTTCTACTGGTTTTCTAGAGACCTTTACAATAACTGAATGTCCATTTAGAATTCTTTAGGAATTGTTTTCATTCTCACAGTAGGTATGGCAGAAATAGAAGCACTTTTGTAAGTGACTTTATAAAAGGATTATATACAGTGGGATATAATTTAAGTAAAAGAGCTGAAAACGAAGATTAACATTTCTTTAGTAATCAGTGTTAGTGACAATGATAGTATTGTTGCTTTGAAAATATTATTTATGTAGAAGGATGAAAATTAGGAACTTAAATACTCAGTATAACAAGAAATAGCTGTGAATATAAAGTTCACAATTAAAGCATCATTATCTCTTTTATCAATGTTTCCATTTATATTTTTTATTGTTTCTTTTGTTTTTTTGGTTACATTGTTTTATCTCTATGTACACCCTGCTAGTTTTGATTGACTGTAAGGCATTTTTTATTTCAAATTTTTTTACTTGTCAGGGGATGGGTTGTTCAAATTTTCATAATCTACTATTCTTAGAAGAAGAACTCCACCTTAATAATATTTTTCACCAGAACACTGACAAGGAATTTAAAGAGATAATTTGCTTTCACTTGGCAAGACACACTATATACTTTTGCCTGGATACTCTGGGTTATGTCAACAGTATAGTTGTGTTGATAAGGTAGAAAGATCATGATTTTCCTGGACATTTATGGAGCCATTTATATTGGTGACATTCTGTTTAAAGTGAAAGGTTATGAAAATATGTGTTAGCCAGCCTCCAAAATGACTCCTGATGACCTCCTTTATTCAGGTTCTTGTCTGGTCCCCTTCCACACTGAATCAGTTCTTGCCTGTGTGACTAATATAGCACAACAGAACAGTGGTGTGACTTCCAAGAATAGGTCCTAAAGACACTGAAACTTTCTCCCTGATGTCTGGGACTTCTTACCCTGAGGAAAGCCGTTTGCTATGCCTTGAGCATGCACAAGCAGCACTGAGGAGAGGCATGTATGAAACGGTACCCACCTGCCATATTGACATTCCAGCCATGGAAGTGAGCACATTGGAAGTGAATCCTCCAGTTCCCATCAAGTCTTCAAGTGAGCAATGCCAGTGCATGACTGCAAGCTCATGGGTGATGCAAGCAGGACTGCCCAGCCAAGCCATTCCTGAGTTCCTAATGCACAGAGATTGTGAGGGCTAACAAATGATTCTGGTCCTTTTTAGCTACCAGTCTGGGGTGAGAAGAAGGACAAGGCAGGTGAGAAGGAAGCAGAGGAGTAGAAGGAAAAAAAATCCAAAATAAATGTAGTGGTTGCAGAATCACTCAGCTATGGAAAAACATTCTCTATTTGGGGATATCACACCAATTTATGAGGGCATAATGCCCCTCCTAAAAAATTATTTAATTTAGGTTGCTAAATGAATCCAACTAAATAAAACTAAAAATACAACAGACTATGCCTTTGGTATTGGTTTAAGCAGACTGTGAATTCACCTTGGAAGTATTAGTCATTAGGGACTTGGCATTAGGCTTCGTAGTGGTCTCTCCATGATCAAGCACAGCAACCAATGGCAATCAATGGGACTTGGACATGAGAAATTCCATTCCTATACACACAACTGTTTCTAAAATAACTGGACCCCACTGAAACCAAGGCCTAATAGAACAAGTCCCCCTTGCCATATGAATATAACTTTCAATAGCTATTTTAGGTTGTTCAAACTCTGGACTATTTAAAGAGGTTGGTCAGACTTTGCCCCAGTCAACTGAATTAGAATTGTACCTCCAGGAAGGGGCCACACTGAGCAAATGCCAAAATTATATTACGGAACAGGCAGTAAACCATGGGCCCTCTGCCATTTAAGCAGATACTCTCCACCAGTAAAGGCAGTCTTTAAGGAAAGCTTCTTGTTAATTCAGACATCCCAGAGACAATTTCCAGAGAAAACACAAAACCTCTGATTTACAGGAGGCAGTGTCCTTATAGCAGTAAGAAGGTTATTTAGGAGGCCCCTGCTTTACCCCTGATACTGGGAAATACTAAGTGAAGAGACAACCAGGATAATCAGTACAGCATTTTTGAGTTCTAGGCTCTCTGGACGGCAGTACCAAGCAGAGATGTTACATTCCTCAGAGTTCACAGTTGTCCAGGTTTTGGTCGATGGTCAAATAGTTGGAAAATATTTCTAAGTAATACAAAAATGGTTTTGGAGAAAGAGCTAAGGAAGATAGTAAGTAATTAATGAGTACATATTTGGTCCTGTGGTCTATCAAAACCATGAAAGAAGGACTTCCAAAAGAACAGAGAGAGTGGGTGCTCTTGCTAGAGGCATAAATCCTATTGAAAAATGCTCGGGACAGTGGGAGGTAGGGTATCTGAAGACCCTTTCACAGACAGGGAGTATCTGCTTTTTCAGGTGTTGTTCTCTTAAGTTTGTAGAGGTCAAGAAGGGGGATTCATTTGAAACTTGACAAATGCAGTTGTGAAGTGTCCAGTGTGACAACTGAGGCAGACTTTTTAACAAATTCAGAGGCTAATTTCCTAGAGGGCTGACTCCTGGGAGACAGTGGTGGGTGGAGTACACAGGGCCTTTGTCAAAAGCAGCAAAAGCTGTTTTCTCACCATCACTGACCAAAATGAGGCAGGGGCTGCATTTGTTCCTCAGCTGTGATTGACCAAAAGACAAGGAAAAGAGTTGGAAGGATTGTGTGCAAGATATGAAACTGTTGAATCAGAATTCAGATGTGGTAGCTCACTGTAGGACAGAAATTATGCTGGAATGGGCAAGGGACATGGATAGTCGATGGGGTTCTCACATCCCATTGAAGTAGCCCTGATGTCAGAAAAGTGGAAAGGTCTTTTAAAAATGGTATGAAAACACCTGGGTCCTGAATTTAACAGGAACAGGCAAGATACTTCAACTCAGTCTTAGGTATTCAAGTGTGAGGCTGTCAAGGGGTTGCTATCTGCTGCCATAAATAATGATGCCCATGGCAGTGGTCAAAAAACACTGACCAGACATGTATGAAATGAAAATTTCACTCATGGCCAAACGACTTATGAGGTTGCCAAGAAAAGTGATTTTTATCTCCAGCCTGTATGTCCCAGGGGAAGTTTTCCCAGCCAAAGATAGGCTATTTTGAAGAATTAATCCTCTAACAACAAAATTAGAAAACAGGGGGACAATTTAGGGTATTTTAAGTACTGTCCATTAAAGCAAGACTGACTAGAGACACTCCTAACTCTGTGCAAACTCACAAAACCGTGTGCAAACTCACAAAAAAGAAGAAGAAAAAGAAAAATTTGCCAAAACAACTGAAGTAGTGGTAGAAGCAGAATTAAGAATATGTTCAACTGAGACCAGACAACTACCGCAGGGTGGAGATTAGCAAGCACAGGACAAATGGATGCTCAAATAGAATGGATAAAATTCACATTGCTTTTAGGAATAATTTGGATGCCATCTTTGAGAATGGTTGCATTGTTATTAATAACACATATTGACAAACTGTGACACATCAGGAAATTCCCCTTCATTTGTGAGAATAACTCTATGCAAAAAACTGCTATGGGGGCTCTATTACTGTTTGTGGGTGCTTAGGCTTTCGCTGCGACCGCTTACATAGCAATTGTTAAAGTTTTGTACATAAAAAGCCCCTGTGCTGTGATGATCCAGATCCACATTTAGTGGCACCGATACCCTAATTCTTTCTGTCTTCATCCCGAACAAACCATGCACAGCATCTAATAACCTAATAATCTAGCTGTAAGCACAACAGTAGCTGGTTCTGCTGTCTGTTCATCATGGACAAAATCCTATGATAGAGAAATGCCGAAGACCGTGTGCTATGGAGAGTTGTCAGGGACGCCCTTAAAACAATTCCTTAAAAACAGTTCTTATCCCATGAACCAATGTAATTACGTTGAACCAAATTTTAACAGATCTTATCCCACGAACCAAATTTCATATGTTTTATAATTGTAAGGTTTGTTCTGTTTGGGATGATAGCTCTGCTTCAAGGTATCAATCAAGAGATAGCTTTTGTATTATAAATGGAATGATTTGAGAGAAATGCTAAAGAAAATTTAGGAACTCTGAGGACTGTTTTTGAAACTGCCTTTCTTTCATAAATGGACAATCAAATAGAAACCACCCTGCATTAGCAGAGGGGACCTCAGAAGCAGATATGTTAAAATTCCACCCAATTTTGGTAAAAATGTAAAATTATATACTCACATTTATTTATTCAATCATATTTTTTTTTTCTAACAAATAGGACCACGTGCTGAACTCTGTGGGAGGGACTTTTCTAGGCCCTGGGAACAAAGCAGGGACAGAAAACAAAAGCTCCTGCTCTCAGGGAGGTTCTGTTCTAGTAAGTAGGACATGCAGCCTATACATATACATACAGTCACACGAAATAACATGGTGCTAAACTGCCACGTGCTAGAGTAAGATTGCAGATGAAGATTTGAGGTGTTACAATCCAAAAAGATCTCCTTCAGGAAAAGGGCAAGGACATGAAGAAGGTAAAGTTGTTGCTTTTTTTTAGTGTTAGAATCAGATGCAGACATGAGTCACCTAGATACTCCTCATCAGAAAGTGAATCATAGGAATTTGACCTGAACATAAATAATGGCAATAAATGGAAAATTTCTCTAAGGATTGTTGAAGACAATGCCTGTGATAGCATTTGACTAATTGGCCATCAATGGGTTAGGATCACTGAAAGACCATAGTTCCTCATGCCCCACTCCCACTAGCAAAGAGAAAAAAATTAAGACAGGTATAAAACACTACCATTTTGGTGGAACTTGATGAGAATATGAAAGCCATTCTGAAATGGAGGAGGAAGTATTAAACCTTAGGCATACCTGTTTATTTACCAGACAAAATTTTTACTGGACTATTTCATGAAAATATGGCCTTCAGGAAGGACTAGACATAAAGGCCAGATTCTGCATTAAAACACCTACATGAATAGGACAACTTCAGCTAAGATTCACAGAGTTATATAATTTTAGTGCAGGAACAGGGTATTAGCTCTTTCATTTCATTTACAGGTATCTGAGTCTCCCAGCACCTAACCCATTGTACAGGTGTTATTTAAGGGCACCGTGATATCCATGGTAGAGTGGGACTGTGATGTCCTGACTCCCTGGAAACCCTAGTCCCCCATGAGGCTTTATCCTTGTTATATAGCAATAGACATCCACCAACTTGTGGAGAATTTGTAATAACTTTCTTACACACAAACCCTGCCAGTCATACCACAGTCTGTTTCAATTATTACGTTAGTCTAGAGAGAGGACATCATATTATTTGGGTTTTAACAAAACACCAAAAAAAAATGGCAGGAGTTCATAATAATAAGCCTAGAAATTGTTAATCTTGGGGCAATTTATGTAACAGACCATCCTGAGGATGATTTCTTGGCAGGTATGCTATATCCCTGGTGCTCATACTTTAATGAATATTGGTTGTCTAAATTATTTTTGAGGCTGTATGGAGGAATACAAGTTGGCCAGTTCAGCTGTACAAAGATGGCACTGGGGGTGATAGAGCATGTTGGAAATGAATACTAGGATTAAACTATTATAAATTTGTGGGTATCTATCCAACATCTGATAAATGATATAATTGAAATGTTTAAGACCCAGCTTGGGGATACCATAGCAGAAAGATGGCATTAAATAAGCTGAGTACATTCTTGCATTGGATTTTATGGGATTTGGTAAGAAAAGTGACTTGGGAATACAGATATTAAGGGGAACTTCAATAACAACATGAAACAAATAAGGGAAGTGATAAAACATAATTATTTTCCCAGAGAGTTACCACAGAACAGACCCAGTGAGGATTTTAAATGGGGTAGAGTTAATTGGAGATGTGCAGTTATACTTCAGTAAACTTTGAGTACTGAAAACTAAGTTTAGAGGTGATTAGAGGAAATACATTGAACATTTTTCCTGCCTATCTGATGGTTGCTATGTTTCTGGGAAAAGAGGGAAAGCTCTACTTTCTAGAAGTCTAGATACGAATATAGAATGAATAATAGAATTTAAAAACAAGAATGCCCTTTGTAATCAATGATAAACAATGCTAAAACCATTTTATGAATGGACAGTTATGTGAGACCAAAATAAAATCCAACAATCACATGC